CCAGCAGCAGGTCAAGAGCAGTTACACCCCGAGCCCCGTGAAGAGTTCTGCCACACTCACTTGCACACACACTGTGTCCCATTACCCTCGGGGGGGTCTCTGCAGCATCCGTTTGGACTGCCTTGTCCTGCTGCGACAGGAAGCAGCGTCCCATTGACCTTACTGAACGGGCAGCATAACCAGTATCGTTTATGTATCACGAGGGCCGCAAGTCAGCCTATTTCTGGCTCTGTCCTCCGGTCACGCTCATCCGCTGTATCTTAGCGGTACCCCCACTTGGTCATCCTCTGAAAAACGAGCAACAGCGTCGAGTGCAACGTCAACGATAAAACTTTCGTTTTAGAAGGGTTATCACCTGCTTCACTAACTTAAAAGCTCAGCAGGTCCCTCAAGGATAGAATATGCTTTTTATTTACTCCTCTGCCGCAAAAAATATCGGGGTTACTTAAGATTTATTAAAACCCTGTTTAGCTAGGACAGCCTTTAAAAATCTAATGGCAACACTAATTAATTCAAGCGAGTGTCTTACTGAATAAAGTTGTTAGCTTTACCTGCTGCCCAGAAATGCAGTTTTGCTACCAGTCACCCATTACTTTTTGCTTCCATTTTGAAAGGGTCGATGGAAAAGAAAACACAGTACAACCTGTGGTACCTGCCAGTTACCCAGGCATTTTTTATACCGAAGGGAAGTGCTGGCAAAACCACAACAGCAACACTGCACTTCTGCACGAGTCGCCTGCTTTCAGCCAGGGCTGGCGAAGGGTTCAACAGAAGCTACAGCCCCCTGCGAGGGTCACAGCAGCTTCTCGGTGAGGTGGAGAGGACGGGTTTAGCTCAGCTGGAGCAGAGTCAGAAGGGCCACTTGCACTCCCTCCCCCTTCTGCGGCCTCTGCTCTCTCCATCTCTCCTAACCTGTGGAGCTCCACCAAACCCAGGTGAAGCCAGGCCAAGGTCCACAAGAGGGAGAGGAACCCTCAGAGCTCCAGCACAAAGCCGGGACTGCAGAGCCGAGCGGAGAAAGGCAGCGAGGGCTGGAATAGATGTAAGGCTGCACAGTGAGGTGCTGGGCTGAGGACAAGACAAAAATCCATTCGGAACTTGAGGGAAACCTTAGAAATTCCACGTCCCCAAGCAGGCAGCAGACTCCTACAGCGACGCGCTGCCGGAGCAGCCTCACGCTGCACACAGGCAGTCTGGGCCACGCTGTTGGCAGAGAGTGGGTGGGTTGGGCTGTGTTGAAAAAAGCCTTAAACACAAGAGACAGACCAAACCACGAGGTGCATGTTTCTACTGGGGGGTGGTTTTTTAATCTTCAAATTATTTAATCTCTGAGATAAACACTTCTGCCGTTGGCTTTTAGAGCAAACCGACTACTGCTGGTGTTGGGCTTGGAAACCTGTCAAGGCGTAAAGCCTGTTGAGTCAGACTGAGCCACGGGCAGATGGAGAAAGTGAGGAAAGGCTGCAGGCACCGGAGGGGCAACGTGGACAGAGACACAGGAGAGAACCAACCGTTTCCAGCCGTCAGACGGCCACAGCAGCCTTCCCCTCCCCTACCGTCTGCTAGGGCCGAGGTAGTTCTCACAGGAGACACGAATCCACTCCCTTGTTGGCAGCAGCTGTCCCGCTGCGAACTGGGACAGTCACTTGCTAGCCCACTGCAACCACACAGTATCCTCAAAGTCAGTCGGAAGCTGACCCGACCATCTGGATCCATTCGCCTCCTCATGGATGCGGCAACTACACTCCCATCGTTCCTGCCACAGAGCCTACCCTGGGCTGGAACATCTGTCCTGCAGAAGTGCCGTTGTGCATTGCCTGCCAGTGCATCCCGCTCCAGCGTCCTCCCTGACTCACAACCCATCACCCTGCTCTTCAAGAACCTCCTCTCCACACACAGATTCCAAGGGGATTTCTGAAAGAGGGGAATACTCCCATTCACAACAGCAGCTATTCCTTCATCAGCTGCACTAGAACGTGACCCAAAGCACACAACCACTGAAAAAAGACTTTATTTTTCCCTTTCAAATGACCTGGAAACAGAAGCCATGTAGTATGAAGTATATATAAACAGTAATAAATAATACAGAATCACAGAATTTAGATTGGAAGAAACCTTTAAGATCACCAAGTTCCATGGTTAGCCTAGCCCGGCCAAATCCACCACTACACTGCACCCCTAGGCGCCACACCTACACGTCCCTTAAATACGTGGGAACTCAAGCCAGCCTTACAGCACCTGCCCCGGGAGGAGGGGAGCGAGAAACGCATTTCCACACATACCCGTCTCGAGGCCCTTCGGGTGCTTTGGTCTCCACAGGGCGCACATGAGTTTCCCTTCCCTCAGAGGCCTTCCCCGTGGGGTCCGCAGCGCTCGCCCGCCCGTCAGCGAAGGGCGACGCGCATCAGCTCGCTCGACTACGGTAAAGTGTTACCCCGCACCGCTACC